GGTCACCGGGTGATCCCTGTGAGTTATGCATCTGCCAGGTGAATGATAACCTGCTCTATTTCACTTAGTTTTAACCTTCCAGTCTCCTATCACACAATGTTGTTTGTTTGTTTATTTATTTATTTTCATCAGATTTTTATCCCATCTTTGCTATAGTAGCCCCCTAACAGTCACCAGCCAAATTCAGATGGATACTTTGAAGAATGTAGCTGAAACTCCAGTTGTGTTTGCCTGGGTATCCTAGGATACATGGGGCAGAGCCAAATAGCTACGTTAAATGCTATCCTCCAGTATCTGAGTTGGCAGAAAAAGTATGCTGGCATATATCACGTTGCCCTCCTTGGTAATCCCTAGTCTGTTTCAATAATGAGGCCACCATTTTACTGTTTCCATGCTGGACAAGTTAAGGAAGGTGATCAGTGGACTCCCTGGGCTTAATTTCCCCTCCCATTGAGTGCCACCTGTCAGTGGGAAAAACAAGTATCATTCATTGATATCAGAAATAGTAACACACAGCTCTCAGAGCCCAGTTACCTTCCTGGTTTAAGTTGATCTCCTGCATAGCACGGAACTAGGGCTAACCTGATTTTTTAAAACATTGGTCTATTGCTCTTTGAAAAAAAGCACAAAATCCATGTACTGTATATAAAGAGCCTGAGTAAAACTGGCTAAGCATTACATGGGTGGATCCACTAGCTGTCAGGTGTCTGGTTTTTCCTGCAGTCTAAGCCAGAATGGCAAGGGGGAACAGTGGCCGGTGCCTGGAGGCAATGCTGGCTCAAGGGTATATGGCAACCCTGGGCTACATTGAATGATGGGATCACCTCCTGCCAATGTGAAGTTTTGCATTTTTAGAAGGATTCAGAAGGAGGGATGGCATTGGTGCTCTCTCAGCTTTGGCACCCTGGGCCAGTGCCTACTCCGTCTTAGCCTAAAGCTGGCCCTGTCTGGAGGGGAGGAGGTGTGCTGCAGTAAAGTGAGGGTGAATTGGAGCTGGGCAGATTGCAACCCTTGACCATGTCATTTCCACTTTGTTGGTGAAGTGTGAGCAGAGCAAATATTATATCAGGAAAATAGGTAAAACACAACTGTAAAACTGAAACAGTTAATATGCTTTAAGTTGCTTCCAAGTTGAGGGGATGAGACAGAGGCAACTTCATAAACACTTGTTTTATATAAAAAATGGGCATGTTTGTGCTGCCATTAGGAGGATGTGAGGATGAGCACTTTGTGGGGCTCCTGAGTGCCATAATTGGGTTATTACTGTAAATCACAGATTTACAAATTTGGGGATTTGGATCCTTCCTATTAAGGATGCTGGTAGACAATCTGCAGCTCATAGGTAACGGGCAGCCCAGGGTGGACCTCATATGGGCTTCCGTGGACCTCATATGGGTGCTGCCCACACCAATTATTTGGATGACAAACTTTGGGCAGCACGCTATCTCTGGCATGCCGCTTTATAGCTTCCTAGCAGCTCATTAATACAAATGGCACGTATAGGAGTCCATTGCTTTGTGGAAACTACTTGAACCTCGTTCAGACAGAATGGTGCATATTCATATTTTAACTCAATACATCCACACTTAACAGACTTGCACTTCCTTTCTGGTCATTCAGTCTCCTTACTGCTTGCAGTCTCCTGCTCCAGCTGTAACTTCTCAGACTGCCCCAGCATTCCAGGTGCTCTGCTCATTTGCTATGATGTCCCCGTGGGCCTCATTGGACAGATGTGATGCCACCTCCTCTCTGATTGCACCGAGGCCTGAGACTAGACATCTCTGAGCTAGGTCTCATTGCAGAGTGCAAGGGGATCTCCAGCAAGGCTCTGGCATATGAATGCTATATGCTAATTAGAGTCAACTCTCCTAAGAGGACTCCGTCCAACACTCATCTTATTGGGTGTAAAATACCAGAACAGTTCTAGAACCTTTTGAGGACAACTAACAGAAGGCTGATACCTCTGCTGGGACGGAGGCAATGGAGGGTCTGTCTGCCCACAACAGACCAGCAGTTCGTGCTGTGGGTTTCTGTGAAGTTCTTTTCTGTTACAGGCAGATGGTTCAGTGAGCTGTAAGAGGACAGACTGTTTGGAGATGTGTCCTCATCCAATTCGAATCCCTGGACAATGCTGTCCAGATTGCTCAGCAGGTAAAATTCCATCTTTTCAGAAAGATGTTTCCTTCTTAGGGAAACCAAATATTTTCCTTCATAGAACATCCATATTGTTCTGAGCATGAACACAGCTGTTTTGGACACCGATGTGTACATCATCTTTAACATTTTGACACCAACATTGTAAAGAAAGAATCTTGAAAAACTGCCCAGAGTCACTGGGAGTCAAGCAGCACATGCATGCATACAAGACCAATCACCATTTAGAATCTAGTTCTGCTTCTTAAAGTAGACAGAATATTGTTCTACTCATGTATAAATGTGAGAGGCCTATCTCAAATGAACGTTCCTCTTTTTAAAAAAATGTATGCTGGTACTCATTCTAAGAAGATAATATGCGTAGGCAAAGCCATTGCAAGTCTAGCAAATAAATTTCCAAAACTATTGCTGTCCATGGACACTTCTCTTAATTGCTTTTTTCCATTTTATCCATTTGTCAATAATAGCTTTTTTACTGTCATAAATGAAAGCACTAAGCACAAGAATAGTGATACTGTAATTAGTCTTACATTTCAGAATTTAAAAACAAGGAACACTTACAGATTTGCAAGACATCTGCATTTGTTATAATTCCTACTTTGTTTGGGAATTGTAAAAGGGAGAGAGGTGACAACAATCTCTCTCTCTCTCCTCCTCTGTCTCTGTGTATGTGTATATATATATATATATATATATATATATAAATGAATTTGAGCAAATGTATACGGAAGGGATGTGGTGGCTTTCTTTGCAATAAAATACTTAACAGCAGCTACTGCTGTCTACGTTATATTTCTAGTACTTTTAGAGGAACATTTTCTAAGATTTTCATCAAAAGGCATTGTGCAGTTATTTGGCCTGTTCATCCTTAATAGATTTTTATGGAAAAGAAATAAAAATAAAAGAAGCACCAGGTAACACCCAGGACGGTTTAAAATGGAAGACAAAGTCATCTGACTCCCCACCCCCCAACAAATTGCATAAATGATAGTGGCTGATAGCATGATAAACATCTTGTGCAGAAGCAGGCACCATCCGCGTCATGCCTCCCTGTCTCATGCTTGCTTGAAGGCTTTTATACAGACCAGCTGGCTCAAGTTGACCAAGTAATTATGTTTTTCCCTTTCTCCACCAAAGGCTGCACCTATGCAGGGAAGATCTTCTATAACAATGAAACCTTCCCCTCTGTCTTGGACCCATGCCTAAGTTGCATTTGTTTGGTAAGTCCTCTTCTTGTCTTACCTCAGGCTGAAAACAATGCTAAGCCCTGGTAACCGTGGACAACCTTCTTTGGGCTAAGAGGCCACATCCCAAGAGGGTATCCGAATGGTACATACAGTCCACCATCGCTTAAGCTTTCAGGGAGATGCAGATGTATATTATGTCATGCCTCTATGGATGGGGTTTTACATGACTTCATAGAAAAGCAACCCAGAACATCCCAAGAGGGTAGGCATGTACAAAAGTGGGTGGGATTAAAAGAAGGAAGAATTAGGGCTGGAGTCCCCTCACGCTCAGAAAGAGAGCAACTTTTTAATAACATTTAATAAATTAAACGTGAATAAGTAAATAAATGTTCTGTCTTTGAGAATGGCCAACCAGATACTTCCAAGAAGTTTGCAAGAAGGTTAGAAAAGCCTTAACGGACAGGAGAATACATTCTCATATATACTTTTGCCACCACTTCTCAATCATTTTTCTTAAAACTGAATAGAAAACTTTTCTGAACCAACTATATATATTTAAATAAATATACTCCATCCATTTTGCCAGCAAGTACTGTAGAGTGTTTGAAAAAATAAAAAGTACCTTTTGAATGATAAACAGATCAGTTCTGACATATTTTTGAGATTTCACATTAAATATAGGTCATACATAGGTCTTTAATGCATAGCATTTTAGTTGTTTGTTTGTTTGTTTGTTGCTTGGCTTTTTGAGTTCTGTAAGATAGAGATGATTCCCAAATAGCTTTCTATTAAAATTCAGCAATTCAGGTGTGGGTGGCATCTGGGAATGAGGCTCTAGTGGCTTGCAGATTCCTCATTCCTGCTGTACATAAGAAATAAAGACACCTTGACTGTGTTCATATTTCAGTTTTTCAAGAAGGTAAGCTAATTTCTTGAACTGCAGTCTTTTGTTCATTTTCCTGGTAATGCCTCCTCCATTTGAACTCCATGGGCCTTGTTTCTGAGGAGAAGTAAGACCTGTGTCTGAAGAGACTCGTATAGTTCACATTTTCACTTAATATCTGTTATTGAAAGAATCAGTAATTAAATCACTGAAAAGGTGATTGTGATTGATTATGCGCCATCGAGTTATTGTCAGCAACCACACAGATAGACTTCTTTAGGATGATCTGGCCCTTCAGGTCTTCTAATGGTGGTCCCATCGCTGCTCTAATTGAGTCCATCCACCTTGTTCTGGTCGCCCTCTTCTTTTTCTTTCCATTGGAAAGTACTGATTGAAAATATTCTGTCATTATCAAAATGTATTTCTTACTGAAACAATAGGAACAATCGAAGGGAAAGGGCACAAGAAGGAACCATTTGAAAATTAGTCATAACGTTCCATTTGTACTTCTGTCCCAACCTACTGACCTCTCTCGATTCCTGGAAACAAATCTATTTGCTATTTTTGTGAAACTTTCCTATGTGATACTACAAGAAGGATATCACTGACCACGACTATTACTGAGGAACATGATGTTCTTTGGGGAGGGGGAAGAAGGGAAAGAACTGGAATTAAGGAAAAGGAGGGGGAGGAAGCCTACCAAACGTGTTAGCGGGTGAAGATTTTAAATTGCAGGGTAATGATACTGCTTTGCCATTAATGCAGGTTCTTCCTCTGTGTATGTGTGTATGTGGGTGTACAACTCTGTGTATGTCTGCGCATGAACCTTATAGCTGGGCTCTGTGGCCTGTTCTCCTGTGGACTGTGTCGTGTTTTGTACATACCCTTTCCATCCAGAAGGCGAGTGCTGTCCAATTTGTCATGGTAAGATCACAGCTATGTGGCTTTTCCAAATGACTATTCCAAATGGAATTTAAAGGTGAAGATTGTGACAGGTAATCATTTTGTAAAAGTAACTCTGGTAGGCAGAAACATAGTCAATTTAAAGGTAATTATCTTTTTAAAGGTAACCGTGCAGCATAGCACATCCCACACTTTGGTGAGGAATGCTGCTTCAGCAGGCAACTTCCTTTGCACAATTTCTTTTCAAGAGGAACTGTGTCTGTGGTTTGAATTTTAAACACAAACAACTATTGACTATTATTAATTTGCTACTAAAATGGAAAGAAAGAAAAATAATGGAGAAAATAAGTAATCTTATTTTAACCTCGCAGCGTCCTCCTCCCCCCAGATGAACCTAGGAACTGAATAAGTTGCACGAGAAAAATTAGTAGAAATGCCACTTCCTTACTGAACAGGAAGCAATAAAAAGGGCGGAAGGTGAAAGGAGGAAATTGCTAGTAAGAGGCACTTAAAAGCCAGAATAACGGTTTGAAGCCAGTTCTAGTTGGAATGGTACAGGGACTGAAATTTTTGGCCAGTCCAGAAATAAGTAATGCCACAAATCAAGTTTGGGGGGGAAACATTTATTAAACAAATGAGCAACCAAAGGACCGCAATTCCAAAGGAAACAAAGAACAGAACATTCATTGTTCTCTTACAAATCTGCATCACCAATTTTGCTTTCTCTCTGCGTTCTGATGAAAAGTTTTACATAACTTGTGAGTTTCATGTTTTCATGCAGTGCAATTTGTTTAAAAGAGAGTGCCTGTATTGACATTATTTATTTTTGTATGAACTAAACAGTTGTCTGTCCCCTTGTCAGGAATTTATGCAGAGTCTTTATTGCTTAGATGAGACTAAAGATTAAAATTTCAGAGAAGTATGTTAGTAACTGGTTTGGTTCTTGAATACTCAGTTTGATATCTGATAGGTTGTTTGCCTCTCTTGCCGTAGGAAATCTCACCTGTACAATCATTTGTGCAGTAGTCAGCACTTGGGGTGTTCTGGTAATCTTGAGTAATATTTAGTATTACAGAAAGTAACTTCTGAATGTATGTATGGCACTATATTACAATCTGTTCATGTGGTCTCATAAACAGATCTGTTGGTAGTTTGTTCATGATTAAAGTGTATTTCTTATGGGTTTTTTTCCCTATAGACTGCAATTACAAGGGAAGAAAAGTAATCAACGGACACAACTTTGTTCCAGAAGATGAACCCTGTGTTTATTGTACCTGCCAGGTGAGATGCAAGGACTTTGGAGAAAGAGAGACTCCCTCCTAACACCCTACGTTCCTTTCCCTCTTTCCCATTGTTTCTTTTGAAATCTTATGTAGGGCTCAGCTAAAGTGTGGTTGCTGATCTGTTGGACTCCATTAAGGAGAGAACATACTAGCAAGATACAAAATGTTTGTTGTTCAGTTGCTTCTGATTCTTTGTGACCCAATGGACATCTGTTTGACAGTATTGTTTGTCAATCATTCCTTCTTTGAGTTCGCATAAGCTCCTGCTTGAGCCACCGGTGATAGTATCTAGTTACCTTGTCTCCTGTCAGCCCCTTTTTTGATTGCTTCTGATTCTTCCAGCCCTCGGGGTCTTCTCTCATAACTTTTGCTTTTCCATTATGTGGAACAAACATAATTGCTTTAGTTTCTGTTGAGTAGTCTGCACACAAGATAGCAGAAACTGCAGACTCTACGAACAAACATTTATTCATAGTAAACAAAGAGAATAACTGAACTGATCTCTAGTAGGCCAAAGAGGAAGAAGCAAAACAAACCCTATCAATAACAGTAGAAATCTGCTAAGCGACAGCTCTAACTCCTCCTGGCCTAAAACAACAGAGGTCCTGTCTTAGAACAATATGATTGTAGCTCTTCCCACAATACACAACAGCTTCATTATTAGTGCTTCCAGTGATCAATCTGGTTTTACTTCTCCCAGTACTACAGTCCACGGTATTCTCATCAATTTTCTCCAGCATGAAAACTCAAGGGCATTATTTCCTCTTTCTTCAGCCTTTCTGATGATCCAGCTTTCACAGCCCTATACAACAACGAGAGCATACTGGATTCAAGCTCCAAATTTAATTCTCCTCTCTCTTATATATTCCTGCATAGCTTCCAACTATGCTGTGCAACAATAGAAATACTAGTCAGATATAATGGAACGTCCCTAGGAGAGAGGGACAATGTAAGGCAACAGATTCACCTCCTGGGATCAGTGATTTCTTGCTGGGTCTGAACACCTCTTTTTTTTTCCTGTCCCTTCAGCTTGGGGAGGTGAGCTGTGAGAAGAAGTCCTGTCCAAACACCTGTACAGAGCCTTTTGGTTCCCTGACTCATTGCTGCCTGGACTGCCAAAATAATGAAGTTATGCGTAAGCCCTTTTTTTTTTGGTCACATCTGTCTAGGGAATCTGTTATACTTCATTTCATACTATCAGATCTAAAACATGGATGCAACAGTTTGGGGAGCAGGAAAAAAGTATGTGATCCAATTACATTACCCCTTTTAAGGAAATATAAAAATATTCTGTGCATAGAAATGTTTACAGAAGCTGCATTAAGTTTGTCATGCAAACTGAAATTGACTGGGATGGTAGTGGAGGTCAGAACAGGGGGGACATAATATCTGAAGTTATAGGGTATTAGAGGGGCTGTGGGGATAGCTGATGAACAGACTCTAAAATGGCGCTCTTCCATCTTCTGACAGTCACTGGTCTGCAAGCAGTCTCCTGTTAATTCTGCTGCTCTGTATTACAAGTTTCTCAACATGTTACCATAGCTCAAAGCTGCAGAACGTATTATAATGTACTTTCTAAGATCCCCAATTATGCTCTGTGCAAGCTGTATGAAATAGTCCTTTATAGTTTGTGTTTGTGAGTGGCTACATCTGCTTGTGGGATCCAGCAGGAAGGGGCAGTGTTTGGGCATGTTCATATATGCTCGTGCACACCTAGCCTCCCTGTGGGTTGAGATTTGTACAATCTGGAATGCAGGTAATAAGCAACGCATTTGCCACAATGCTTCAGAGCAATCAGAGTTCAATCTAGTTTGCCTTTTTCACATCAGATGATTTGGCCTCCCTGGAGAATAGATTAGCCAACCCAGTCTTGAAAGACGGGGCATCAGAGACACCCTTGCAAACTCTTCAAAGAGGCTCCATGGCCCTGGTGTCCGACAGCCACTGCAGCTACTGCGGCTCCACCCCCAGCATTGCCTCGCTCACTCCAGAGGTTCATCCCGAAGCAAGTAATGCAAGTGATCAGGAGACTCCACTTATGAACCCAGCTGCACTAGGGAATGTTGGACTCCACCAAACCAGACCAGGAGAGGCCATCAGGTTGCATCTCAATGAACCACCAAGTATCATCCCTCCTTCTTGGCTAGGCCATTCGGCAGTTCCTCAGATAAAGCCAGAATCCATTGTACCACTTATAAATAACCCAGAAGGCTTTGGGGATCCTCCTGGCAGATCAACTGGGTCCTCTGGGACTGATTCTAGCCCGTCTTCTCTCTATTCAAGAGCAAGCAGAACCACTGCATTCCCCACTGCTGCTCCTACTTCCGTTCCAGCCACTCCAGCTAACCTCAGAAATTCCATAACTGCTTTATTTCAGCGTTCAAACACCCACAACCTTCCTCTGCCACCTCTGGCTGAAACATTTTCTCCTTCAGCCAGCTCCAATCTAGATTCTCTTCAAGAGCTTCATAACAGCCCAACCCACATAACTCATTTTTCTTTGGACCAGCAAAATGTGGGGAACAACTCTCAATTATCCCCTAGTGATGAGAATACCCTCACTGATATATCTCCATAGATTGGGAAGAATGCCAGGCTTATTTTGAATAAGAGGAACATAACCACTTTAATCTCATAAAAACAAGAGCATCTACTATAAGATTGCTGTTAGCTGGTTTTCCCACTATGTATTCATGGCAATAACCACTTTCCGGCTTCTCAGAGAGCAGGTCCTCTTAGTGGGGACATTACTTCAGCCCTTGCTTGTGTTGAAGTTCTTACTTAACTAATACCTCCTTGGACTTAAAAGACAATAGAAAAACACCTTTTATTTGGAGTATCAGTATAAACATTCCAGTAAAGCACAAAGATTTCAGAATGGAAGCATGGCAAGTAGTAGGATCGCAGGCTAATTCAACCTCTTTGACTGTATGTTGTAACCGTAATGGCAGCAAGGGAAACAACAACTTCTGCCAGGAGTCATATGATAAATTTTTGCACACCGGTTTAATATAGATATTCTGTTGCTACTTGCAGTCTTATATGGAAATTTCAGGACTGATTATGTTGAAGAAATGTGGCTAGCTTCCATGAAGTCAGAAATGTACTAAACATTGTTTTACAGAACCACTCTGTACTGTACTGTATACTGGGATGTACAAAACTGATTCCAATCGTGGAAAATTTCCACTAAATCCTTTCTTGTTCTGGTTACAGACGTGTTCGTGTGTATAAAACTCTGCAATTCAGATTATAATATGTTGAAACTTGATTTATATGAACAGTAAAACTATAGTATCCTATCTAAAGGTAAATGTATTTTTCTATGCCACAGTTAAATATACATTTCAAAGCTAAGCTTCCTGTGAGAATTTCATTTAAGATTTCTTTGGTGATGTTTGCCAGCCAGTAAAGTCTTCAGGAATACTTAGTTCCTGAAAGACTTTGAAAGTTGCGTGCAGCCCATTCATAAAACAGGCAGCACGACTGAATTTTCTCAACTACCTCAAAGAGGTGTCCAGTAAGGGTATATCAACTTTTCATACCTGAAACCAGACAGACTGCTGTTGTTTCCCCTCATTGCAATATCTCTGGGAATTCTAATTTTGTGAGATTTCCAGTGAAGCTTTGTTTGGTACTCATTTAGGTGCTTCCTAAAATTCCACATCTAGCATCACTGTTCCTCATTCAGCTTGGGCCTGATGTAAATGTGAGCATGACATACTGTACTAGAGGAGTGCAGTGCTTCAGTCTCAAAGACACAAAGGTGCTTCAGAGGGCACGAGAGCAGGGACCCATCACCTGGCTGCAGCTCTGTAAAGCAACAGCACCTTTCCCCTGTATCATGTGGCTGTCCTCTGCAGCTGCAGTGTGCGACTGGAAAAAGGTGCATTTGGTTCAAGGAACTGCTAATAGTGCTATGTTCATGCCTTGACATGTTCTGGAGCACCTTTTTGCCCTTGAATCCAAAGGGCAGCACAGCCATGTGGAATATAACTTTGGGCATTTCCAGTTTGAAAAGGGATTTGAAGTATATCCACAGTGCATCCTTGGCTGGTGCAACTCCCATAAGGCAGGTAGAGTCCAGTATATCTTCAGCTATAGCTTTACTGGCTTCTAAGCCTTAGTCAAATGAGCGTCCCCAGAAAGGGCCTTCTCGTCTGCAATTTTTGCAGTTGATACTCCAGAAAGTGCAAAATGCTACTGTCTGGACAGGCAAATCCACATATTAAGAAGCCAGTGTAGGAGTCTGAAGTGTTTGATATAGTTACACACTGTGCCACAGGCCTTCTGAGTGACTTTTGGTAAGGTTCTCAAAGTGATTCAGTTCATGATCTGTCAAAACACCCTACCTCATAGGGCATGTGATGGCTTTGTGCTGGGTTAAAGTTGATTTCCTCCAAGGAATCCTGAAAAATTGAGGAGACTAAAAATTCACCAATTTCCTTTCATGGAACTCCATTTGTGGAAGGGGGAATAAAAACCACATTAAGCCTCATGTTGCTGTGCCTTGAACTAACAATGAACTAGGGCTTGAAGTGACATTGCCTGGTTATCAAGACAGCTACATCCTGTTCTCTCACCACCCCTCCCCCCGATTCATAGCCATTCTTGCCAATGTCCCCTAAATTAGGGCAGATTAGGGCACGTTGCTTGATGCCATCAATCGGACAACGTGACCGACCTGCATGAAAAGTTTTATTGGCAGATATGAGAAACCCCATTGCTTGTGATGGCCATTTCATACATGCAGGTTTTCATTTGGGCAGGAATTAAAGGACACTTCTGTGTAAATTTACCTTGGTATGTTACAATGTCAAAATAAATGCCTATCTTGTGTTTTTCATATATTGATATAAAAATTTGTGGACATTTCCATTTAAACAAAATGTTTTGTTTTAAAAAATAAAAATATGTAATAATAAAAATGATGGCAAATAAATTTAATCTGAATTTTCTCAAACTGGATCTTTTTTATAACTGAATTTGATATAGACCATTTTTTAGAAGGCCTGTTCTCTAGGTGGAGGAAAATAAGCTTTTGAAAGAATGTTTATTGACCTGTTATCTTTACTAATTGCAGGAAAGTAAATGTTGGTTGAATGCTAGAAAAAACTTCCTAAAATTAAGAGTAGTTTGACAGTGACATCCATTATCCACACAGTTGGTGGGTTCCCCTTTGTTGGATGTATTCAAGAAGCTCTACAGCCATCCGTTGGGATACTTTAATTTGGATTCTTTCCCTGAACAAGTGGTGTGACTAAAAGGCCCCCTATCCTCTTCCACTCTATTCTATTGAGACTGGCAGGCTATATATATTTAAATAAAATATATATATTCAGAAACTGGCACAGCCAACTATTTTGATGCAAGAATGAATAAATTGAAGCATTTAAAATGTAACCAAATGCAAACCAAGGGTCTGATCCACTTGTGAATTTTCATTTGGAATAGATGAACTTCAGGTTGCTAGTTGACATATATCCAATAAGTATGCCCAGGGAGGAATAAATAGTCCTATAAGCTAGAAATGATAAATGTACAAAAGAAAAAAAAAAGGGGGGTGGGGGGGGGCGGGCTGTCTATTGGTGATGCTTAGTCAAACAGCTACAAACGTATCCATTCAGTGAGAAATGAATACCAAGCCATTCATTTTTATATTTATTTATTGTTGCTGACATTAAAGCATGGGGATCAGGAGCATAATTACCAAATTTAATTCCAAAGAGTCAAGACTATCCTTAGGCTATAATATGACCAATAGATGTTGCTATTACTGTGCCACAGGAGCCAGGCCAACCTGGTTGTTTGCTCTGTCGAAGACAGCGTAGTACTGACGGATGAAGACATCACCAAGGATCCAAAG